TCATCCATCTACCCACCTATTCATACATCTATCTATCATCCATCCATTAAATCATCCATCCATCTGCCTATCCATCCATCCATCCATCCATCCATCCATCCATCCATCCATCCATCCATCCATCCATCCATCCATCCATCCATCCATCCATCCATCCATCCATCCATCATCCATCCATCCATCCATCCTGTTCTGGACTCAGGTCTTGGGGCAGCAGCTTGATCAGGAAGGTCCATCCACCTCTTCCACATCTTCTGGGAGGACTCAAATGCATTCCCAGACCTGCTGAAAGACAGTCTTTAGTTTGTCCTGGATCTTCCCCGGGGTCTCCTCCCAGTTGGACATGTCAGGAAACCCCACTAGGGGAGGCATCCAGGAGGCCTCCTTACCAGACACCTGAACCATACAAAACACTGTGCCTGGTCTCTGTTGTTATTTTCAGAAACTGACTGTGCAGAATGTGACTTGCTGGTCCCAAACTTCCACAGAAGAACGTGCCCATTTTCTCACAAGTCCCCGGCTGGTCTACAGCAGCTGCAGCACGGTGAGATACCAGCGTTTGTTGCAGCCTTTGGAGAACACGAACAGCTCTGTACAACCAAAAACCAAGGCATGGAAGCACAGAGGACTTGGACATCACCCGCCAGGAGGTGCATGAGCAGCCCCAGCCTCAGAATCTTTACGTCGCTGTGCTAAAACTCCATTTTCTGTTCACTTAGTCCCCAAACTCTAGTTTGAATCAGGATGACATCACAGCACTCTGAGCTGTAATGGAATCCAAAGTGTCCTGCAGACGGAGCCGTGTGTCTGCTGTCCATCACTCAGTGAGACACTGATGGGACAGAGCTGGTCGGAGACCTCCGGGACATCCTGGAGGACAGGCTCTGTGGTGAGAATGATTACACGTCTGTTGAAGAGGAAAGGGTGACGGCAAACAGAATCATCTAAAACCGGCTTTGCATCGTTTCCTGAGGTTTATGTCCCGTTTACTCCCCGTTTCCAGACGATTACTCGGACGACTCGAACAGCAGACGTTTCAAAACCAAACTGGCGTCTGCGCCTCCTTCTTCTCTGAGACGAGGCACCGCTGTCCTGCGTGAACGCTTTCTTTCAGCTCGGAGAGGAGGATGAAAGGCCCGCAGAACGTTTATTGTGCTCGTGTAAAAGAGTGTTTGTGCGCTCGGTTTGCATGCTCGTGCAGCCGTTTGTGACC